AGCTCACCACCACCAGTACTGACCTCACCAAACAGATCACCACCATCAGCACTAACCTCACCACACAGCTCACCACCACCAGTACTGACCTCACCAAACAGATCACCACCACCAGCACTAACCTCACCACACTGCTCACCACCACAAGCACTAACCTCACCACACTGCTCACCACCACCAGCACTAACCTCACCACACTGCTCACCACCACAAGCACTAACCTCACCACACTGCTCACCACCACCAGCACTAACCTCACCACACTGCTCACCACCACCAGTACTAACCTCACCACACTGCTCACCACCACCAGTACTAACCTCACCACACTGCTCACCACCACCAGCACTAACCTCACCAAACAGCTCACCACCACCAGCACTAACCTCACCACACTGCTCACCACAACCAGCACTAACCTCACCAAACAGCTCACCACCACCAGCACTAACCTCACCAAACAGCTCACCACCACCAGCACTAACCTCACCAAACAGTTCACCACCACCAGCACTAACCTCACCACACAGCTCACCACCACCAGTACTAACCTCACCACACTGCTCACCACCACAATTACTAACCTCACCACACTGCTCACCACCACCAGCACTAACCTCAGCACACTGCTCACCACCACCAGCACTAACCTCACCACACAGCTCACCACCACCAGTACTAACCTCACCACACTGCTCACCACCACCAGGACTGACCTCACCAAACAGATCACCACTACCAGCACTAACCTCACCAAACAGCTCACCACCACTAGTACTAACCTCACCACACTGCTCACCACCACCAGCACTAACCTCACCAAACAGCTCACCAGTACTAACCTCACCAAACAGCTCACCACCACCAGTACTGACCTCACCAAACAGCTCACCACCACCAGCACTAACCTCACCAAACAGCTCACCACCACCAGCACTAACCTCACCAAACAGCTGGACTGTCCCATCTGTACGGGATAGACTAAAACTAAATGATTTATTTTACCAGGTAAGGCCCACTGAGCTGTGTCGCACTTTTTCAGAGTAGACCTGGCGCTCGTGAATGACAGCTCGACGAAGCGACGGATTATCATAACCAGGTCGACATTTATAGCAGCAGCCGAATTACTCTGAAGCGCGACCACGGTGAGAGAGACATGCAACCTCCACATTTACAGCAGGCGTCAGTGTCGGAATGGAACCCATGACCTCCTCCATACCAGGCGAGGTCGTTAGCATCTCGCCACCGTGGACAGACGAGTGTTGTTCCGTGGGTATGCGCTGTGTGCTTGTATAAACACTCATTCATTGGCCGACAACAACATCAAATATATAAAGTGCTTGCCACAAATGAACAACAACACCTCGCTGATCTCGTCAAGGAACAGAAACCATCACGGGCTCTCTGGTCATCCTCGCAGCAGCAGCAGCGGCTTTTGGCTCAGCCTTCGAACCAAGACGGCGGTAACCGGATCGTGCCGCGCATTGAGATCTGCGTCTACTGCCGTCTGGAACGCTCTCCCTTCCGATATTCGGAAGCCACTGGGAGCATTGCACTTTGTTTAAATCATCTCGATTGAAAACGAATTTATTTAGAACTGCTTGTTGTTGTGTTTAGTTTGTTATCCTCTCCCCTGCACCTCCGATTAGCACGGTTGGCTACGTACGGTGGGAAAGACGTTTCACACAAAAACAACACTATACACGACACCACCACCATACACTACACTAAATTGAAAACTCATTTTGTTAGAACTGCTTTTTGTGTTTAGTTATCCTCCCACCGCACCTCCAATGAGCGCCATTGCCTGTGTACGGTGCGAAAGAAGTTCAACATACAGTACATATTCATAATAACCCAACCACAAAGCTTGGGCAATTGTGAGTGGCGCTGCCTCATGCTGCTGCTTCTGCTGCCTCCCCGCTGGTCTGAGGATCCTCGTCGAAGAACGACTTCTGTGCGACAGCGCCCGGGTTGCAGTCTTGTTACAAGCCCCAGATGATGATGAAGTTGTTACTGTAAACGCATCCAACGGTGTTTTTCTGCTCTCGGAAAACTCCAAGTTAATTATTAACGCGGAGGATTTTGTTTTTCGCGTTCAGCTTCCAAATGCATAAACATTGATACGGCAATTCCATCTCCATCGGACTTTGCCCAAAATCTGTTGATATGTCTGTGTGTGTGTCTGTTCAGTTTTAACCCCGGCCTTCATAGGCTATACGGGGGATCTTTGTCGTTGTGTTCCATTTTAACCCGACTAGTTGACCCAGCCTTAAATACAGTGAGGGGAAAAAGTATTTGATCCCCTGCCGATTTTGTACGTTTGCCCACTGACAAAGAAATTATCAGTCTATAATGTTAATGGTAGGTTTATTTGAACAGTGAGAGACAGAATAACAACAACAAAATCCATAAAAACGCATGTCAACATTTTTATAAATTGATTTGCATTTAAATGAGGGAAATATGTATTTGACCCCGTTTCAGTCAGAAAGATTTCTGGCTCCCAGGTGTCTTTTATACAGGTAACGAGCTGAGATTAGGAGCACACTCTTAAAGGGAGTGCTCCTAATCTCAGCTTGTTACCTATATAAAAGACACATGTTCACAGAAGGAATCAATCAATCAGATTCCAAACTCTCCACCATGGCCAAGACCAAAGAGCTCTCCAAAGATGTCAGGGACAACATTGCAGACCTACACAAGGCTGGAATGGGCTACAAGACCATCGCCAAGCAGCTTGGTGAGAAGGTGACAACAGTTGGTGCGATTATTCGCAAATGGAAGAAACACAAAAGAACTGTCAATCTCCCTCGACCTGGGGCTCCATGCAAGATCTCACCTCGTGGAGTTGCAATGATCATGAGAACGGTGAGGAATCAGCCCAGAACTACACGGGAGGATCTTGTCAATGATCTCAAGGCAGCTGGGACCATAGTCACCAAGAAAACAGTTGGTAACATACTACGCTGTGAAGGACTGAAATCCTGCAGCGCTCAAGAAAGCACATATACATGCCCGTCTGAAGTTTGCCAATGAACATCTGAATGATTCAGAGGACAACTCGGTGAAAGTGTTGTAGTCAGATGAGACCAAAATGGAGCTCTTTGGCATCAACTCAACTCGCCGTGTTTGGAGGAGGAAGAATGCTGCATATGACCCCAAGAACACCGTACCCACCGTCAAACATGGAGGTGGAAACATTATTCTTTAAGGGTGGTTTTCTGCTAAGGGGACAGGACAACTTCACCGCATCAAAGGAACGATGGACGGGGCCATGTACCGTCAAATCTTCAGGTGAGAACCTCCTTCCCTCAGCCAGGGCATTGAAAATGGGTCGTGGATGGGTATTCCAGCATGACAATGACCCAACACACACGACCAAGGCAACAAAGGAGTGGCTCAAGAAGAAGCACATTAAGGTCCTGGAGTGGCCTAGCCAGTCTCCAGACCTTAATCCCATAGAAAATCTGTGGAGGGAGCTGAAGGTTCGAGTTGCCAAACGTCAGCCTCGAAACCTTAATGACTTGGAGAAGATCTGCAAAGAGGAGTGGAACAAAATCCCTCCTGAGATGTGTGCAAACCTGGTGGCCAACTACAAGAAACGTCTGACCTCTGTGATTGCCAACAAGGGTTTTGCCACCAAGTACTAAGTCATGTTTTGCAGAGGGGTCAAATACTTATTTCCCTCATTAAAATGCAAATCAATTTATAACATTTTTGACATGCGTTTTCTGGATTTTGTTGTTGTTATTCTGTCTCTCACTGTTCAAATAAACCTACCATTAAAATTATAGACTGATCATTTCCTTGTCAGTGGGCAAACGTACAAAATCAGCAGGGGTTCAAATACTTTTTTCCCTCACTGTAAGTACCTGGTGCGGTGTGAAAAACATCGGCATTGGGGAGACAAAGGCGGCCGGACGTGGTTCTGGCCTCACCACCCCCTCGTGTGCCGTGCAGGTCTTCATACGTGCTTGCTACTCTTCACTAAGAGCACTTGCCCCATCAGGTTGCTGAGGCTACACGGGGGATCTCAGTCTTTGTATTTTTGTTAATATCACGATTGCTGAGCACGCGCCTAAAACGCCAAGCGGTCAGCAACAAACAGCAACATTAAAGTTGTTCATATCTAATGAGCACAAACCTTATGAAGGTTACAAATTGGCTGTGTCGGGTGGTAGCGGGTTTGACGACGCATTTATATTTACGCGATCTAACCCAAAATACCTCGATTATGGATAACATTGGTCGCGAAAGCCTACATGTTAAACAGAATGAACACGATGGTGAGTGGGTGGACAAACTAGTTAATAGTGTGTGACAGGATGAGTTGGTAGGTGAGCAGGTGAATGAGCGTGTGGATAAATGAGTGCGTGGGAGAATGAATTATTCTGTAGGTGAGTGAGTGGGTGATTGTTGCGAGTGGGTAGATGAGCGAGTGAGTGGGTGAGTGGCTTACTCGGTGAGTGAGCAGGTGAGTTGGTGACTCGGTGAGTGGATGAGTGACTGGGTGAGTGGGCGAGTGGATTCCTGGGCGATGGGTGAGTGAGGGAGTACATGAGTTGCTGTGAGCTGCAGTCTGACGGTTAAGTGACTTCGTTAGTGGGTGAGCGAGTGGTGAGCGAGTGAGTGACTCGGTGAGCGAGTGGGTGAGTGAGTGGTTGTGAGCTGCAGTATGGAGGTCGAACGCTGAGCAGAGTCGCTGCCATGGTTCGTACCGCACTGGGCTTTAAACTCGACACACCTGAATTCGATTCCCGCTCGCGTCAAACGTACGTGGCGAGTAATATCTGAACCAGTCTCGGGCCTCCCCTAGGTCAACTCAGCCTTAAGTGAGTACCTGGCGCCGTGCGTGAACACGGGTGGGGTTGCGTGTTTGGGAGGGGCCGAGGGTCAATACACGGAGCGAGGCTGCGAATCAGCGGCTACGGCTCCACCCCCCATCATCCCCGCAATCATCTCCCCCTGTCCCCCCGCGTCTCCATCGGGGACTCTGTCTACCTGAGTCTCTCTCTCTCTGTGTGTCACCCACCGTGTCTCTCTTGACTGTGTCTCTGCCCTTGAGTCACTCCGCTTGAATATATTTCCCCTGAATCACTCTCCTCTGAATTATCTCCTTTTTTGTCTCTCCCCGTGTCTCTCTTCTTGCTCTCTCTCCCCCTGCCTCTCTCCGACTGTAACTCTCTTTCTCGTCTCCCTATGTCTCCGTGCACGTGTTCAAACTAACCACGTCGTCTCATTAGAACCCCCCATCACCACCACCAGCAACCACGTTGTGCCGCCGTGAGTCGTGAGAAGATGCTCAACGTTCAGGCTCGGCGTACGTCGAGGTACAGCGACCACTGCACACATACACCAACGAATCAACGAATACTCGACGAAATAATTAAATGAATAATCTTATGAGTAATGGCATTAATAGTTTCATGAATAATGGTATGAGTGATAGAATTAATAATTGAGTGAATAATTGGATGCCTAATGGTATTAATAAGCAAACGAATCATCGAATGATTTATCGATATACTAGAACGAATAATTAAATGAGAAATTGAATGAATAACAGAACAAATACATTACTATAGTCCTATAAACATTCACGCGAGCCACAATGTTTATAAAGGCTCACAATAGCTGTGTCCCAACTGTTACGAATTATAATTCGCCGAACCGCGCGTGCGCTTGCGTGTGTTGCTTCATGCGCTCGTTCGTTCCGCGTCATTCGTTCCCGTGGTCAGGAGTGTTTGTGTGTCCGTGTGTTACTCTTTGGTTCTTTCGGTAAAGTCACGTAGAAATAAATAAATAAATAAAATAATAGCATACGACATTTCGATTGCGTGACTTTACCTAAAGAACCAAAGAGTAATTCCTGCAGTCACGAAAGCTCCAAATCAAGTTTGTCCGTGTATATTTATTCGGGGCATGAATTAATTCATCCGTGCATCCATCAATCTGTACATTGATTCGTGCATCCATCCACCCGCACATACATCTGTGCATTCATTCATCCATTCATTATTATGGTATTCGTTCATCACCCGTGCATGTATTCATAATAATAATAATGCAATTTATAACGCGCGCAAATTTGCGGACGTAACGGCCACAACTCAGAGGCGCGGAGCCAAGCTCAGAGTCGCTCGAAAGCGTGATTATAGAGGTGCGTTTTTAAGTCTCTCTTGAAGGAGGCGATTGAGGTGATGCTGCGAATGTGCAGAGGGATGGCGTTCCAGACTGTTGGGGCTGCCACCGAGAAGCGGCGCATAGACATGACCATCCTGGATCTTGGTATCAAGAGGTCGTGAGTCGCGCTGCGCAGGCATCTGCCGTGTGCTGAGCTGCAAGTTTTCAATAATGAAGAAAGGTACGGCGGGCAGGCAGATGTGAAGGCATTGTGGCAGAGGCAGGCGGTCTTGTATGTGACCCTGCTGGCGATGGGCAGCCAGTTGAGGGCACGGAGACAGGCGAGTGAGTCGGGACGGGGATGAGTGTGGCCAATGATGAGTGTGCTAGGTTGTTTTGTAGTCTTTGAAGTTTTTTTAGGTTGCCAGTGGAGGTCCGGACTAGGACGGAGTTGCAATAGTCAAGGCGAGACCCAACTATGCAACATGCCAATGTGTTGGAAATTTCAGTATCCGTGCACTCATTCATCTGTCCACTCATTCATTCATTCACCCACTCGCTCACCCACTCATACCGCCTCCCCTTCTCCTCCCAGCGCCGCACTGCACCCGCTGCTCACGCGTCTCTGGGGGGACGCGGGGCGCCTGGCCGAGGCTCGGGTGGCTACGACCACCCCTCTTCTCTCCGCCCCACTGCACCACTCCACCGCCCGGCAGGCAGCAGCAGCAGGAGGGGCGGGGGCCCGGTACAGCTACGTGGTGGTGGGGGGCGGCAGCGCAGGCTGCGTGATAGCTGGGCGCCTCTCCGAGGACCCGGGGGCCAGCGTGCTGCTGCTCGAGGCCGGGCCCCGGGACACGGTGCTGGGCAGCAAGAGGCTCGCGTGGAAAATCCACATGCCCCTGGCACTCGCCTACAACCTGTGCGATGATAGGTGAGCAGCTGCGGGAGGTAGCGCTCATTTTGATGGTGGTGTGGTTGTGGTGGTGGCGGTGGTGGTGGTGGCGATGGAGCGACGCTCACAACAACGAGCGGCACACCGGATGGCTAAAACACAGCAAGTTGGCACAGTAGGGGGGCACAGCTGGTACATCTGCCAGTCATCTCAGTAAGCCAACCCATGGCATCGCCTGGGTCTGTCCCGAGACCTCATGTCAGCGAGCCTTCGACAATTCACGTGGCTTCAAAGTCCACCTGGCCTGGCGCAGGCGCCGTGATGACGTCACCGTCACTTAGTGGCGAATGGCGGATGTTGGTATTGGTGGTAATGACTGACTGGCAAAATTGCCCCACCTACTGGGTCGGTGACGCTGTGGTGGGTTTGACCAATGCCATTGGAGTGACAAGCGAAACTAATCGGATAATGCCCTCACGACTCTTTCAACTGCCAGTGGCCAGGCATGAGGGCTGGTGACCCCCCCACCTTCAATTAAATTCCCCAAAAAACTAATAAACGAAATAAGCGTGCGTCGGAGAGCTCGAGGGGACAGGTACTATACTGGGATAAAATGAATCTGCGATAAAATGAACTCGTGCTCGATCCTTGCTCGATATGTTTACATCGTTAATGTGATTCCTGTCACATGATTTCTGGATCGAACAAGCCCACATTAGGCTGCCCCTTGATGCTGATTGGCTTCCTTCCACATTTACATAAATTATAATTTATTCTTTAGTAGATTAATTTTATCCGTTTACAGCGTCTATGACGTCTCCTGGCCTAACTCCGTTTGGATACTGAACCCCCTCGCGGTTCCTCCAGACACAGCAGGAAACTACTGCGGTTGGCCACGTGGAATGTCCAAACACTCACCGCAGAGGAGAGGCTGCCATTCGCCTGTTGGGAGCTAGGCTGGTACCACCTGGACCTCTGTGGAATACAGTAGGTTTGGTGGGCTGGTCCCAGGTGCTGGCTAAAGTAGCCCCTCGGGATAAAGTCACCCTGTTGGATGCCTTTAATGATCTAGTGGGTCATGACGCAGCCACTTTGGCTAGAGTAATTGAAAAGCATAGGCCAGATCAGCTCAATAGCAACTGTAGGAAGCTGCTAGACTTATGTGCAGCCTTTCGGCTTGTAATCACCAAAACGCTGTTCCTGCGCGGGTGCATCCACACAACATCACGGGTGCACACCGGGTTTAAGCAGATAACATCTGCTGGACAGTACAGGGGCACATGTCCTGATACCATCAATCAATTCAAGCTTCTATACCGCACCATATTCAGTAAAAATAAATCTGAGATCTAAGCTTGGATGGCACTACGAAACTGAAACTTTAGTTAAACAGAAGAGAACATTAATGTTTTTAGTCCGGTCTTAAGCTGGCAGTCTGTTCCAGACCACCAGAGCTGCAGATGAGAAGCTCCGTTCTGCTATCCTAAGGCGAGTGGATCTCCCACACAAGCAAAGGTTCATTTCTGATGAGCCTACATTTCGTGGTGGTAAGAATGGGTGGATGGCATTGCTTAGGTAAGTTGGTTGGCCAGTTGCTTTTGCTATAAACGCGACCTTGAACAGTTGAGGCGATGGGGCAGCTGTGGAGATCTTGGAGGAGTCCTTATACATGGGCAGCGTGCTTATGAGCAGCGCCGGTTTGGTAGCAGAGGTCTATCTTCAAATCAGTCAAACGGCATTATATTTTCATCCGCTACCTGGACTGTCGCTACGCATGAAACTCCAGGAATTCTTGGCCACAGTTATGCTTGCAAAACATTAAGCTCTCTGAACAAAACATCTGCGCTGGTTTAAACACATTCAAGTTGACCTGCCTTCGATCAATCCTCGGTTCAATTAGACTGGATTGTGTGAGGAGCTCAGGTTCTTGAAAGATCTGGACACTATCCGTCAGCAATCTGACTTGGCAGGCAAGGCTGCATTGGCTTGGTCACGTAGTCCATATGCCCAGCCACCATATGCCCAAGCAGCTTCTGTTTGGCCAAATAGAGGGGGCTACATGGGTGTTGCATTGTCTAGAGAAGAGATGGACTGATGTGGTACAGAATGATGTTGAATTTCTGATGACTAGTACCAGTTATGCCAAGATTTGCCTCTGTAGAAGAACGCCCTCGTGAAGGAAGTTGCTACTCGGCAGTCGCCCTCCAGCAGCAACGGAGGGCAGAGGAGCGACGCTCACAACAACGAGCAGAGCGCCGGGCAGATAAAACGCAGAAAGTTGACACAGTGAGGAGCACAGTTGGTGCATCTGAAAACTAATTTGAGAATGAAAACTCATTACTTTAGAACTGCTTTTTTTGTTTAGTTTGGTGTCCTTCCACCGCACCTCCAATTAACACGGCTGTGAAAGAAGTTCAACACACGCACACGCACATTTGCAAGTAAATTCAGCCAGTCAACCGAGTTTGTTCCATGACTTCCCGCCAGCAAGCCTTCGGAATGTCTTGTGGGCTCAAAGTTCACTTAGCCTGGAACACACGCCGTGGTGACGTCACCACCACTCAGTGGTGAATGACGGTTGTTTTCATCAGGGGGGTGACGGGAAACAACAGATTCTGTCCCGCTGCTGTGATGCGCCTCAGGTACAACTGGTGCTACCACACGGAGCCCCAGGAGCACATGGAAGGACGCGCCCTCTACTGGCCACGTGGCAGAGTGCTGGGGGGCTCCTCGTCCCTCAATGCCATGGTCTACATTCGCGGCCACGCGCTCGACTACGACGCGTGAGCCTCGCCCTCACAACGGAGAGACCCACAGAGGCGCGGATAGGTTAACGGACCAACGCAGAGACGACTCAGAGACCCACGGGGCTTGCTTAGAGTCACAGACTGGTGTACAGTTGCACAGAGTCGGATAGAGACCCATCGACAAATCTCGAACCACGGGCTTACAGAGTCAAAGACTCACATAGAGAATCATAGACTCGCATAAAGACAAAGATCCCCCGTATAGCCTTACACAGACTGTTGGGGCAAGTGCTGTTAGCAAGTAGCACCGATGAAGGCCGGAACGGCGCACAAGGGGGTGGATTGCCAGAACCACGCCCGGCCGCCTTTGTAACCCCGAGTGGCGATGTTTACACACCGCACAAGGTACTCATTTTAATCTGGGTCGACCTAGGGGAGGCCCAAGACCGGGTTCAGATAATCGTAAAAGCTTTTAGCCATGAGCTGGAATCGAACTCGGCTCGCCGGGTTTCATAGCGCAGCGTAGCGCTAACCGCGACACGACCCCACCACATGTACATACGCATAGACTCCCGTGAAGACCCATGGACTCATGGATTGTCTGTTTTGTGAGCCTGCGAGGCTGATCGAGCGGGGCACCTCCCACTGCAGGTGGGAGCACGACCACGGCGCGCGGGGCTGGTCGTACGCGCACTGCTTGCCCTACTTCCGCCGCGCGCAGAGCCACGCGCTGGGCGCGGACCCGTACCGGGGGGGCGACGGCCCCCTGCACGTGTCGCGCGCCGCCCCCGGAGACCCCCTGCACGAGGCCTTCCTGGAGGCGGCGGCGCAGGCTGGGCATCACATCACTGGGGACATGAACGGGTACCGGCAAGAGGGCTTTGGCTGGATGGATCGCACCATCCACCAGGGTGAGTGAGTAAGTGGCATCATCCACCACACCAGGGTGAGTGAGTGGCAACATCCACCAGGGTGAGTGAGTGAGTGGCATCATCCACCAGGGTGAGTGAGTGAGTGGGTCAGGATAAAGGCTCAGTCCTGCAGTGGCAACATCCTTCCTGCAGGCCTTCATGGTCCCTATTCCCCAACAACATTTGGCCAAACAGCCTGCTCGAGGCTCCCCAGGGGACCTCTATCTTCATCTTCGTGTGCACCAGGCAAGCGCTGGAGCACGGCGTGTGCCTACCTGCACCCGGCGCTCTCCCGGCCCAACCTGGAGGTGCGGCACCGAGCCAGCGCCACTCGTGTGCTCTTCGAGGGCGACCGTGCCGTGGGCGTGGAGCTGCTGCGAGCGGGGGTCATGGAGCGGGTGAGAGAGGGAGTCGTGGAGCGAGTGACAGAGGGGGTCACTGAGCGGGTGAGAGAGGGGGCACAGAGTGGGTGAGAGAGGGAGTCACGGAGTGGGTGAGAGTGAGGATCATGGAGTGGGTGAGAGGGAGGGTCATGGAGTGGGTGAGAGAGGGGGTCAAAGAAAGGGGGTCACGCAGCAGGTGAGAGAGGGGGTCATGGATTGTGGTTATGGAGCGGGTAAGAGAAAGTGTCACAGAGTGGATGAGAGAAGGGTCACGGAACAAGTGAGAAATGGGGTCACGTAGCAGGTGAGGGGTCACAGAGAGGGGGTCACGGAGGGGGTGAAAGAGCGGTCACGGAGCACGTGAGAGAGGGTGTCACGGAGCAGATGAGAAAGGGGGTGACGGATTGGATGAGAGAGGTCACAGTGCGGGTGAGAGCTAGGTTCTGGGAGAGAGCAAAAGTGGGGGCCATGGATCGCAACGTGTGGCCAGCATCACATGGGTGGTGACTGTCCATTGCAGCTGTTTGCCGAGCGGAACAAGAACCTTACCGCTGTGACGATAAGCTGCTGCTGCAACTGATGCCGCTAATGCTGCTGGACTTACGGCGACGATGTGAATGTGGCTCGGAGCCACGCAGGGCCAGTGGTTGGGGTTGCAACGCATTCTTTCCGCGTCGAATGCCAGGTGTACGCGGAGCGGGAGGTGATTCTGTGCGGAGGAGCCATCAACTCGCCCCAGCTGCTGCTGCTGTCCGGCATCGGACCCGAGAAGGAGCTCAAGAGGCTCGGCATCCCGGTGCTCGTCAACAGTCCCGGTGGGTCACCGAGGTTCCGCGTTGATTTTCGTGAACTCGGCGGACCAGAATAGAGGGAGCTCAGTCAGGATAAGAAATTCAAAACGAATAAAGTTCAGCAATGGAGCAAAATAAATGATGATGATGATCATGACGATGCTGACAATGTCGAAGATGAATCATAACGATGGTGATAATGGCGATGATTATGATGATGGTGATGATGACGATGATGATGATGGTGATGATGACGATGATGATTATGATGATTATGGTAATGATGATACTGATTATGACAATGATGATGGTGATTGAGTCATAGTACCCCACCCACACGGTGTGCGTGAAGGCGTGGGCCTGAACCTGCAGGACCACCTGGAGGTGTACGTGCAGCAGCATTGCCTGCAGCCCGTGACGCTCTACGGCCTCCTGCGGCCGCACCGCACGATCAGTGCGGGCCTCCAGTGGCTGCTGCGCTTCACAGGCATGAGAAAGCCCCCCCCGACCCCCTCCACCCCTCCAAAGTGTATTAATTATCAGCGCGCCCACTCCACCAGCGATACAGCTGCGTCTCTCCATGTGTCCCCCGTGTCTCCGTGTTTATCCCATGTCTCTGTGTCCCTGGATGTCCGTCTATCCATGTGTCCCCCGTGTCTCCGTGTTTATCCCATGTCTCTGTGTCCCTGTATGTCCGTCTATCCATGTGTCCCCCGTGTCTCCGTGTTTATCCCATGTCTCTGTGTCCCTGTATGTCCGTCTCTCCATGTGTCCCCCGTGTCTCCGTGTTTATCTCATGTCTCTGTGTCCCTGTATGTCTGACTCTCCATGTGTCCCCCGTGTCTCCGTGTCCCGCCCAAGTCCCCGTGTCTTCCCCGCTCCCCCCTCCCCATGTCCCCATGTATCTCCATGTCTCCGTGTGATCCTCTGTGACGGAGGGAGTTTCCAATTATCCCCGCTATAGAGTCGATATACGTCGTGCTAAGGACATTGGGGGTGGTGTGATATGGGGTGATATGGGGAAAGAAAACACACCAAGGTTGCAACAGCAAGGGAAGGGGAATTTGGTGAAGGTGAGGACCAGGCACGGGAGGAGAGGGGGAACAACAACCACCACGCTGCTTGACTATAGTGTGGGGTCTCCTCCCTTCAGCGAGGCTTCCACTCGTGTCCCCGTGTGTCCCTGTGTGTCCCGGTATGTCCCCGTGTGTCCCCGTATGTCTCCTCGTGTACCCGTGTGTCCCCTCATGTCCCCGTGTGTCCCTTCGTGTCCTCCTGTCAGGCCCCTGTGCCACGGCCCACATGGACACGGGGGGGTTCGCTCGCTCGGAGCCCTCGGTGGCTCACCCTGACGTCCAGTTCCACTTCTTGCCCGCCCAGGTGATCGACCATGGCCGCGTCGACCCAACCATGGAGGCCTTCCAGGTGAGCAGGGGGGCATTCCACGTTACCCCGGCGGGGGCAAGTACAATGCTCTTTTGTTTTCTGTATGTATGTTGAACTTCTTTCGCACCCTACGCAGCCGAACCGTGCTCATCGGAAGTGCAAACGAGCAATGGTAATGGGAACGCCCACTCAAGCGGTGCTTTACCCAGCCCAGATAGATGATAGTGATGATGGTGGTAATAGTGACAATGGCCGTGATGGTGATGATGTTGGCAGCGGTAGTGGTGGCGTATGCACACCCACAGAACATGAATTATCAGCGGAGGGATGCAGCAAGGCCGACGAGTCAGACACCTTCTATGACCTGTCCCAGGTGTTAGCTAAAGTGGGCCCTTGGGATATAGTCATTCTGTTGGGTGACTTTAAGGCCCGAGTGGGTCATGACGCTTACACGTGGGCTAGAGTGATTGAAAGGCATGGGCCAGATTAGCTCAATAACAATGGTAAGAAACAACTAAACTTTTGTTCAGCTCATGGGCTTGTAATCACCAACACGCTGTTCTGGCATCGGTGCATCCACACAAAATCATAGATGCACGCCGGGTTCATGCAAGAACATCTGCTGGACTATATAGTGATGAAACAGCAGATGCGGGCCCGTGTACTTGACACCAGGGTCTATTGTGAAGCTGATCTTTTCATTGGCCATCGCCTCGTCATCTTCAATATGTGCATTCCATACTTTCATTGTGGTGGCCATTGTCCATCTAGGACACCACTAAAATACAGAATATCCTGGTCTTGTCTAGTCGATGAAGTTTGCAAGCAATATTTTCACCCTTCCTGATGCTGAGGGGTAATGGGTGTCTTTCAAGATGGCAACTCATGCCGCTGCGATGGTTGCTTTGGGTACATGATCCACAACTTCCCCATCAACCCTGACTCATGGAGGTGTTGCAGCGAGTTGAAATTAAGTAACGGGCCCACGGATGTTGTCTGGCCCTGACACTATTATGTGATGGGCCTACGGATGTTCCCTGGCCCTGACACTATCAAGTGGCGGGCCTACGCATGTCCTCTGTCCCTGACACTATTTAACATATTCCTTGAGCAGGTAGTTCAAAAAGCTTTTCATGGCTGTACCGTTTGGAATTTCTAGCTGGTACAGATAGGTGGAATTTCTAGCTAGTATAACTCGCTACTATTCAACCATGCTGTGGATGTGGATGATCTGGTGATTGCTGCCCACTCTGAGGAGTTAGAGATGCTACTGCTGAACCGGGAGCATGCTACTAAGAAGTGGGTGACTTACCATCAGCCCCACCAAACAAGTGCCTGTATGTCATTGCATGGGTAGTGAGTCCAACTGAGTCGCAGATGTTGTCTTGGGAGCAACACTATTTATTTCACCAACTCAACATAACATAATACAACCTACACTTGGGTGTTGAATACCCATCTAAGCCACGCTACGGCAGAACTACACACAGTTCGCTATCCCGGCCCAGACCACAAGCTGGGTCCCAGACCGCGTGGCTAGAGGCTTCTTTAACCCAACGTGGATCTTCTTCACCAGCAACCCGAAGAACCTCGAGCCCCTCACGGGGCCCCCGTTATATCGGCCTGTTTTATACCACGTGACCACCCAGCGGCCCCCGTCCACCGGTGGCCCCCCTCCAATATCATCCGGTCACGTGTCGGCAGGTCATCCAGCGTATCATGCCCCTACGTAACCCTGGCTGGCTGACACTCCCTCTCGCTCCCTCACCGGGAGCCCGCACCGCACACTGTATGTGGTGCCTCCGCGCTGACCAGCGTGCACCCAAGCCCCGCTAGGGCTGGTACTACGCCCAGTAAGCGGGCTATACATAATACCAACACATTATTCACCGTGACTTCGTAAGCCCGGCACCACACAGTGACATTCACAGTCACCACACATGCTCCCCTCCCTCCATCCCCCATGAGTGATGGAAAAGTTGTGGCGAGAGTAGATAACTTTTTGTACCTGGGCAGTGTTTTTATGGCCAGTTGAGTGGCATTATATTTTCGTGAGCTTTGCAACGCTGTGTGGAAGATACCCGACCTGTCGCAGTTATGTCCTCCCTCCTCTATGCTTGTGAAACGTGGAGTCCTCTAAATAAACATCTGCACTGCTCGGCAGTCCACGTTCCATCCTGGGTTTAATCAGACGAAATTGTGTGGGGATCTCACAGACCCTTGAAATATCTGGATACAGATCCATCAGTGAGCTCCTCTAGCAAGCAAAGTTGCGTTGGCTCGTATAGCCCACATGCCTAGTTGGATAGTTGGGGCTAAATGGGCGAGGCACAGGCAAGAGAAGATATGGACTGAAATAGTACTGGAGGATGTGGAGCTGATTAGACTTATTCATATTCTTGGTTCTTTCGGTAAAGTCACGTAGAAGGGAAATGATAAAATAATAATAAAAAACTGATTAGACTTGCCAATGATGAGTACCAGCTGTCTCAAGATCTATGTGGAGGAGGCTTGTGAAGGATGCCCCTGGGCAGTTGGGGGCAGTCACTCCAACAACAATTGAGGGTAGAGGAGTGACGCTCACAACAACGAGCAGAGCACCGGGTGGCTAACACAACAAGTTGGCACAGTGAGGAGCACAGTTGGTGCATCTGCAATTCATCTTATTCAGTCAACCCATGGCACCTGAGTTTGTTCCATAACCTCCTGTCAGCAAGCCTTCAACACTTCACGTGGCCTCAAAGTGCTCCTAGCCTGGGAAAAGCACTGGGGTGACGTCACCGCCACTTAGCAGTGAATGGTGGCTGTTGTTGTGGGAAGTGGCGATTGGTAGTTGTTTTTGGTGTTACAAAGTAATGATTTGGATGATGACAGTCATGATAACGGTATTGATGGAGGTGGTGTTGATCATGGTTGTGTTGGTGATGCTGGTCATGATGGTGGTGATGATGGTCATGATGATGCTAATGATGGAGATGATGGTGATTATGGTCCTGATGATGGTGGTCGTGGTGATGATGGTGGTTATGGAGCTGAAAGTGGTGGTGGTGGTGATGATTTTGATCGTGGTAATGATGATGATTCTCGCAGCGGCTTCTGGCTGGCCATTGAACAAAGATGGTCACTGCATCACACGCTTTTGGATGCACTTCTGCGGCCATTTGGAACGCTCTTCGTTCAGATATTAGGAAGCCACTGGAGCTATACATATGTAAATCATCTAGATTGACAAATGTATTTCTTTAAAACAGCTTTTTTTGTTTAGTTTATGCTCTTTTCCCAGCACACTCCGATTAGCACGGTTGGCTACGTATCGTATAAAAAAAGTTTAACATTAGTATGTAGTGGTATAGCACTGGCTGCTGGCGAAAAAGGGTAACTGCAGTGTACGGCAGTACTCGCGTCAGCAGGCCACGATATATACGACAGGGGGACATCTAGGGGAAAGGTCACAGAAGGAGCCCATCGGGGAGCCCGGGAACCCACTAGTAGGTTCCAGAAAGGGGAGTATAAGAGGGGGCTGTTGCTGGAAGTGGGATCCCCGTCGTGCTGTTCAAGATCATTGTCGTCACCATCTTGTCGTCGTCACCATCTCCTCGTCATCGTCACCATCTCCTCGTCATCGTCTCCATCTTCACCATCCCGGGGTGCTGTTAGTCAGACAGCCTACCAACTGTTCTAAGTAGTGCCACCGACAATAGATGGTCTTAATTATAATAGTGTGCACCCACGTCGGGTGTGTATTATCCCGATGATGCTTGTTAAATCAAAGAAGTGGCTCCAGTTATTACTATCTCCGATTTGCGTCACTACACATACATGATGATGGTGGTGGTAATAATGATGGTGGTGATGTTGCTTCTGATCGTGATCAGATGATGATGCTGATGATGATGATCTTGATTTCCCTCCACCTTGTCAGGCCCACGTGGGGTCGTTGAGACCAACGAGTGTGGGCTGGCTCAAGCTGCGATCCACCAACCCCACGGATCCCCCCGTGATCCAGCCCAACTACCTGAGCACAGGTGAGCAGGTGCCGTCGCATGATGCCCGGGTCGCGATGCGTGCACAGCAGCGGCTCTCACATCCTTTACAATACCATGCAAGGTGGCGTTGTGCCTCACAGACGCAGGCTGCAGTTGTTCCAAGGTAAGGAATGATGTTACTGTGTAGTCTAGCCCTAGTGAACCCCCAGTGGCAGCTGTCCTCATGCATTAATCTGATAGTAAGGGGGCAATGTTGCTGTGTTGTTTAGCCATAGTGCACCCTCAGTGTCAGCTTTCTCTGTACATCAATATGATAGTAAGGGGTGGTGTTGCTGTGTGGTCTAGCCCTAGTAAACCCCCAGTGGCAGCTGTTCTTGTGCATTAATCTGATAGTAAGGATGCGATGTTGCTGTGTGGTCTAACCCTAGTGCACCCCCAGTGGTTGTTGCTGTGTTGCTGTTATATATGGAATCCCATTTGAGTAACTTGTGGTGTACATTTCCGTCCACCATGAGTGAAGCAGACGGCAACGTAAGTAGCATTGTTATGGATTAACGCACACCGCAGTACTGACCAGGGCGGCCAGCTGGACTCGAGCCGTGAACCTCGACAACAAGCGACGAATCCACTACCGCTGGGCCATGTCGTATGAGTAGACGTGCTTAACCAATAACCGGCAAAACGATCCCAAAACCGGTTACCGGCTCAGACTGGAAGGAACCAGCAAACCGATTCCAGAGGAACGTGAGTATTGAGTCTAGCAATGAGCGCAAACGTACAAACCATGTGTGTGTGACTCTGAATCACACGCAGAACCAGTGTGTCATTGCGTGAGTCCTTGTGTGTCTGTGCCTCTGTGTGATAATGTGTGCATCTGTGTCTCTGTGTGTCTGCGTGTGTGTCTCTGTATGTATCTGTTTGAGTCTGTAATGTGTCTCTGTGTGTGTATTTGTGTGTCTCTGTATGCCTCTGTGTGAGCCTGTGTGTGTCTGGGTCTCTGTGTTAGTCGTCGTTTCTCTGTGCGAGTCTCCGTATAGTGACTTTGTGGGTCTCACCCGACCCACCCCCCCGTAACCCCCCTACCCTCCGTTACCCCGTGCGTGCGTGCAGAGCGCGACGTGTGGGAGCTGCGCCGCTGCGTGGAGCTGGCGCGTGACATCTTCTCGCAGCCTGCCCTGGGCCCCTTCCGGGGTGCCGAGGTGTCGCCGGGTCCCGACGTCACCTCGGCAGTGCAGCTCGACGCGTGGGTGCGCCGGCATGCCGAGACCGCCTACCACCCATGCGGCACGTGCCGCATGGGCGACACGGCCAATGCCGTGGTGGACGAGCAGGCGAGGGTGCGCGGGGCGGGCGGCCTGCGCGTGGTCGACGCCTCGGTGTTCCCGTGCCTGCCCAGCGGCAACACCAACGCGCCCGTGGTAATGGTGGCCGAGAGGGTGGCCGACATGGTGAGGGGTCGCGAGCTGCTGCCGCCCAGTGGCGCACCCGTCTACTCGGCGTGAGCTGGGGGAGGTGGTGGTGGGGAGTGGTCATGCAGCATTTAGCGCGCTGCACTAAAAACACGGTTATCTAAGTTCGTTTCACACTCATGGCCAACACCAGTGACGATTATTTGAACTGGTCCTCGGCCTCCCCTAAGTCGACTCAACATCAAATGAGTACCTGGTGCAGTGTGTAAACATCGCCACTAAGAAGACAAATGCGACCGTGCTTGGTGCTGGCCACCCACTTCCTCGTGCACTGTGCCGGCCTCGATAGGTGCTCGCTAACAGCACTTTCCCCAACAGTCTGTTAAAACTTTTTGGGGATCTTTGTCGTTGTTTTTGGTGATGGCCTTGCTGATGGTAATGGTGATCATGCTAGTGGAGGTGGTGGTGTTGATGATGATCGCGACGACGATTATGTTTATTGTGATGATGATGGTGGTGGTAGTGGTGAAGATAATCGTGACAATGCTAGTGGTGGTTGTCGTGATGCATCGTCGATGTGACTGGGAAGCAACATCCTCATCAATACTCTTTGGTTCTTTCGGTAAAGTTACGTAGGTATAAAATAAAATCAATCGCGACGTTTCGGGCGCAACACAAGCGTCCGTCATCAGGTGGGAAAGCATGATCTGCTGCTGAGGCAGACTTTTAAAAGTTTGAAATGGGTGTATCCCAAGGGTCATAAAGAAGTGGGTGAGGCTAGTGATGTTATTGTAAGAAACTAACATGTAAATGTAAGATCGGAGAGTGGCCTCCTCGACGAGGGCATGGAAGTGGCTATGTTAATGTGAGAGATAAGCATGTTAATGTTAAATCGAATAGTGTTGCAATCCAAAGGCATGAGAGTGCAACCCAAAGGGTGCAATCCAAAGGGCATGTGAGCATGAGAGTGCAATCCAAAGACATTAGAGTACAATGCATAGGAATGTACAACCCGCAAAGCTGTCTCCCCAGCCATGCGGAGACAACCTTCTGAGGATCCAACCAAAACCATCACTTTACCGTACATACAGTGAGGGAAAAAAGTATTTGATCCCCTGCTGATTTTGTACATTTTCCCACTGACAAAGAAATGGTCAGTCTATAATTTTAATGGTAGGTTTATTTGAACAGTGAGAGACAATAACAACAGAATCCAGAAAAACGCATGTCAAAAATGTATCAGCTTGCAAGCATCAGAATGAGAGAACCCTTTGAGATGTTTTTGTTGTCCAAAATTATCCTTAATAAAAATCCGGATGGTAACCCTACGTGTTCCACACTGGCCAGACGCCTTGAACGAGCTGGCAGTACACTGCACGGGAACTGCCGGTGTACTTGCACTGTGGGTGTACCAACTTAGATCCTATACAACTGTTGCGTGGGCACAGCTGGGCGGTGCAAAAGGGGGGGGGGGTGATTTAAGAATCTCGACAGGAGATGGGAATCACATCGGCGACCCCTGGATCCAATGGTGTAAATGCTTACCCCGAGCTCTCATACTCTGATGGTGCATTGTCTTTGAGTTGTGCGCCTTTTGGCGCCATCTGGTCCAACCCATGTGAGACTAGGCTCTAAGAAAAGCTGTCTCGGGTGTGGACCAATCAACTTCAAGGACAGTGCATACATTATCAGAGTTATGTTTTTTGTCTGCATTATGACTGCAGGTATTGTGGTCTATGCAAACATGACTCCTTGTAAAAAAGGTGTCAGTTTTGTTGCCAGATAGAAGGGTAAAAAAGCAATTATCATAGTAACTTGCACTAAAGACGAATTACCTAAATTATCAACAGAAGGTGTATATCAGATTAATTGTGTATGTGGCAGATGCTATATTGGACAGACGGGGCATAACATTAGTGTAAGACTAAAAGAACACCAGAGAAATATTAAACTATCGCAAACACAACTGTCGGCAGTGGCTGAACATGCTTTCCAACAGGGACACTCAATTGATTTTGATAATGTTGAAGTGTTGTGTAAAACTAGTTCCTACTGGCAAAGACTAATTAGAGAATCCATTGAAATTGAGAGAAACAGAAATAACTTTAATCGCTCAGACAGCTACAGGCTCAGTGCGGCCTGGAAGCGTATTATTAAATAAGATACATTACAATTCCTTATAGGGGAAACAAACACTAACTGATTACTAACGTAGCATAATTACAATAAAACACATTACAACTGATTACTAATCTACAACTCGCATCTAAAAACTGCCTGATTACTAATCTAGTATATAATTACAATAACACCCCCCCCTCTGCCTCATATCGTTGCACCTGATGAGTTGATGAGTTAATGATGACGTCACCCTGCTGCTGCTCTATTTAATAGCGGGAGCCAGAGCAGAGCCTCACCATTCTGGCAAATTTTCCCGGTGAGGTGGGGTGCAACTATCCTGGCTTGCCAGGGGAGACACCAGGAGCACTTAGGTGATCCTTCCAGCCCGTCTGGACCTCAAGCTGCTATCGCCACGGCGATCACCCGCGAGACTTAGCCACCAGCTCCGAGGCCTGCGAGGGCCCTGGCAGTGAGGCCAGGGATGACCACGCTGCCAAGAGGCTGGGACTGCTGGAGCGTCGAGATGGAAATCACAGCGGACGAGGAGGGGACATGGCGAGAGTTGAGGGCCACGGGTGCCACCGAGTTGCGAGGGAGACCGGGACGACCGAGCCGCCCAGCTAGCGGTCACAGCAGACGAAATGGAGGCAGGGCGAGCACCAAGAGCAATGGATGCCACCTGCACTGCTGAGGGAACCCGGGACGATCGAGTCCGCCAGATGGCGATTGCAGGAGGCAAGACGGAGACGCGGAGAGAGCAGAGGGCCACCGACATCACCTGTGGCGCCGGGGGGGACTGGGGCAACCAGGCTGACCTGCCGGTGGCAGGGGGAGGTGAGGGGGAGGCACGGCGAGGGGTTGAGAGGAGGGTGGCGGAGGCACGGCAGAGGGAGCAGGTGGCGGAAATGGAGGGGAGGGCGGGAGCTGATGGGGTGGGCGCGGGGGGGCCTGAGGAGGAAGAGGTATGGTGCCGGGGGGCAGAGGGGCGGGTGCCCCCGAGCGGAGGGTGGGGGACGAGGCCAGGGAGATGCCAGCAACCCTGGGTCTGTGGGAGGCCCGGGGGAGAAGGTGGCAGTGGACGCTGGACCGGTGGGGGCTGGTAGGCCCCGGGAACGAGCGGGGAGATGGTGAGGCCTGGGCAGGGGTGAGCCTAACACCACCTCACGTCAGACGACATAACTGCGTCAGAGTGGCGATGAAGGACGAGGTGGCGGAGGAAGTGACCATCGACCGGGCGACCTTTGTACGGTCAAAAGTGATGGGCTTGTTACAAATAGAGCCAACAGACCTGTACTGCTTGATAACCCTGCCGGGAGGGAGGGCTTTTGATGTCAGCTTCAACTCAAGCCCCCTGCTACAGAGATTCTTGACCCGCTTCGAGGAGAAGGCGGAGGAGAAGCCACTGGTATCAATGAAGTTGCAGCTGCTATCGGAGCTGGATACGAAGGTGGTGACTGTCTTCCTATATAATGAAGCTCTACACGACCATGACGTGGAGGTCTGGTTGAGACAGCATTGCTCGGTACTGTCGGGCTGTAAGAAGGTGAGGGATTCGGTGGGGATATGGACAGGGGCTAGACAATGGAGGGTGCGGCTGAAGACAGAGGGGGGGATCCCTGAGACACATCCCGAGTGCCCTAAATATAGGAGGCAGCCGGGGATATGTTGTATATGTGGGACAGCCCAAACTGTGTAGGAGGTGTGGGGGACGCGGAAAACTGGTCGCAACGTGCGAGGCGAGGGTCTGCTATAGATGTGAAGTATGGGAATTGACGGCAGGAACTTCTTGACGGGTAACACACTTTTATTAAATCCTTTAGGTATCACAATACAACGTGTGGTCTCTCTTCTTCCTCCGACACACTCCACTAATCTCGTGTAAGCTCTCGGCCTCTGGCTACACCCGATACACTTGACTCGTGTAGACCCTATGCCTCTGGCTACACACAATATACTCGACTCGTGTAAGCCCTATGCCTCTGGCTACACAATACACTCGACTCGTGTAAGCCCTATGCCTCTGGCTACACAATACACTCGACTCGTGTAAGCCCTATGCCCTGGCTACACATAGTACATTCGGCTCGTGTAGACCTATGGCTACACCCACTACACTCGCCTCTGGGTTACACAGAGTCCCGGTCCCTTTAGGACAGCGGGGCTAGGTAGCGCAGGGCTCTAGGTCTTCATCCCCGTCTTCCTTCTTCGCTGGTTACACACTGCCCTTACGCCTGTGTGCATCCCCTTTTATAGCCCCTGCTCACGAGGGACGGAGCTGATGCGGCGTCGACGTGAGCGTCGTTCCTTAATGACCCAATCACGACGCACTCTCTCTACGATCCGCTTTCCCCAGCGCGTGTTAACATTACTCCACCAATCACACTGCGCTGCCACCTGATCACTCCCTCTCAGCGCGTCACCACCTACACAGCCAATCATCACGCACTGTGCATACGATCCTTAATCCCAGCGCGTATCACCTCTACATCACCCCCTCCCACATAGCTTGCAGCCGGCCCGGCTGTTAACCTACAACACAACATAACGCAACGCAGTAATAAAGAACTCCACATCCCAGTGTGCCCCGTAACACAACAACAACAACATAACACAACCTTAAATATGAAGCAATATACAGCCCGACGAACAACACAATAAAAGCGAACACCGTAAAACGAACGCGCCAAGTGTCACTGTGACCCACGCAGTGCCGAGGCGCTCCGGCTGCCTCGACTCCGCACGTGGTAGGTTACACAAAGTAGCGCGACCTAGCGCGAGTCCGTCTGGCCGGTCCGTCGTATGGAACGGGACGTTGGCGACCGTCCGGTGTCTCCGGCAGCTCTAGACGGCACGGGTCGGGCCTGGAAGGACCGGCCCCGCCGTGAAGATCCGGCCGCCGGTGGTCGGCAGCAGTCAGTTCCGAGACACCTGGGAGCGGATCAGGCGGAGACATGTGAGGAGCAGGCAAGGACAATTCCCCCTCAGGGTCGTCGGTCACGTCACATGCTCGGCCCTCACGACACAAGGGGAGGCCATACGGAGGCGAGAACGGTTTCAGTCGGGAGGGGTGGACGTACCAACGGCGTTTCCCCCATTTTATCTGAACGCACTGGGGGCGTGCCACCCGCACGACCTCCACGGGTCCCCGCCACGGCTTCAACAATTTAGGCGACGTGGCCAAAGGTGCCTGAGGGCAATGCAGCCAGGCCTTGTCACCTGGTTCCCAATTGTGCACGGACACCTTCCGTGCCCGCAACCGCTCGTTCGCAATTTGGCGAGCCCGCGAATTAAGCCGTGCGGCCTCCCTTGCCTCTGTCAGTTTATGAATATTAAATTTAATATGCTCTGCCAATTTAGAATTAGTTCGTGGTGCGGGCAGACCCAGCTGCGTTTCCATGGGCGGGTCGGCTTCCCGACCGTACATTAGAAAAAACGGGGAAAACCCCGTAGCCGCATGGGGGGCCATTCTATACGCGGCAAGGACCCCAGGGACCTGCAGGTCCCAATCAACATGCGACTCACACACCTGCTGGCACAGCATAGAGGTCAATGTCCTGTTAAGCCTCTCCACCATCCCGTCCGTCTGCGGGTGGTACGGGGAGGTACGCACCTTTTTGGTACCCAACAGGTCGCACACCTCCTGCAGTAATTTACTCGAAAAATTTTTCCCTTGGTCAGTCAGCAAGCGTTCGGGAGCCCCCTTGTCCAGGACGTAGCCCTGGACAAAGGCGTCCATCACAGCCGCCGCCGACTGGTTGGCGAGTGGCCACGCCATAGGCCACCGGGTAAAATATTCGACCCCCACCAACAGGTACTTATTACCCCTAGGCGTGACCGGAAAGGGCCCCAGAATATCGAGTGCAACGAGCTCGTTAGTGCGCGAGACCTGAATAGATTGCAGCGGTGGATTAGCTGCCACGGGCGGTGGTTTCCGTCTGGCGCACTCAACACAACCCTTCAGAATATTCACCACGTCACCCCCCATTCCCGGCCAATAATAGTCACGCTGAAGCAGGGCAAGCGTTTTGTTAACTCCCAAATGCAAGAGGCGTTCGTGTGCGGCCAAGACAACCTTCCCCCTCACAGCAGAAGGCACCACAATCGCATGCCGCCGGGACAAACTGTCCCATCTCATCAACAGGCCCTGCTTAAGCTCGTAGGAGCCAGTTCGGTCGTGGCTACCTTCGGAACCCTCCGTCTTTCGGCGCAATGCCAGCAGGGAGCTGTCCGCCATTTGGAGACGGCCCCACTCAATCAACGACAGTGAGAGCAGCGAGTCCTGACCCCCTGGGGTAGCGGGACCATCCCCAATTGGTGTGCTCGCGGTCGCAACCAACGCCTCCCTACCTTCCGTAACCGGAGGTTTACAGCGCGCCGATCCCGATAAGCACGCACATTTGTGACAAGGCAACAACCGCGACAGGGCATCGGCATTCGTGTGTCGCAACCCTTTACGGTACGTAGTCGTGAACTGATAGTCCTGGAGGACTTCCAACCACCGCGACAATTGGCCCGAGGGCTGGGCAACCCGTAATGAATACTGGAGCGCCGCATGGTCCGTCCGGACCGTGAAATGACGACCATAGAGATATGGCCTGAATTGTTGTACAAAAAAAACAATGGCAAGTAGTTCACGACGGGTGACGCAGTAGCGCTGCTCTGCCGGCGACAACACCCTGCTACCATAGGCGACCACCCGTTCGACCCCTCCAACGACTTGGGACAGCACTCCCCCAATGCCCGTGTTGCTAGCATCCGTGTCTAGCAAGAAGGGACTCTCAAAGTCCGGATAGCACAAGGGTGGGGCCCTTACCAAGGCGTCCCGGAGGGAGCAGAATGCAGCCTCCTCCTCCGGTCCCCACCGGAACTTCACTCCTTTCGCCGTTAAAGCGTGCAAGGGCTTTGCAATGGTGGCGAAGTGCTCAACGAATCGGCGATAATACGAAGCAAAACCGATGAAACTGCGCACGTCTGACACTGACGTGGGCGTCGGCCACGAACTGACACAGTCCGTCTTCGCAGGATCGGTAGAAATCCCCGAAGAGTCGACAATGTGACCCAAGTACCTCACGGATTTACGAAAAAGATGGCATTTGGCCGGTTTAAACTTTAATTTAGCCGATCGCATTCGCAAGAACACCCCTCTCAATCGCTGGAGGTGTTCTTCGAACGTTTTACCGAAAACAATGACATCGTCAAGGTAAATGAGGCACGTCTCCCACTGCAAGCCCGACAAAACCAATTCCATAAGACGCTGAAACGTCGCAGGAGAGGAGTGAAGTCCCATGGGTAACCGGTTAAACTGAAACAGGCCCCCTGGAGTCCGGAATGCAGTCTTAGGCTTAGACTCCTCGTCGAGTGGCAACTGCCAAAATCCGGACAATAAATCAAGAGTCGAAAAGTATCACGCACCGGACAATGCATCGAGAGACTCGTCCATCCTGGGGAGCGGATACGCGTCGGCCACCGAGATCTTATTCAGGCGGCGGAAATCGACGCAAAATCGCAGGGACCCGTCCTGCTTTTTAACGAGCACAATAGGTGCTCCCCAAGGACTGGAAGAAGGCGAAATAATGTCGGCTTCCAGCATATCGTTAACTGCCGACTGAACATGTTCCTTCTCAGCAGGACTCAGTCGGAAGGGATTTTGCCTGACCGGTGCCGCATCGCCCGTTTCAATGTGGTGGCGTAGCAGGTCCGTGCATCCGATATCATACTTATGTTTACTGAAGACATCCGAAAATTCAATCAGCAACCC